TTTTTTAAAATTGTCAAAATAAGCAAATATTACTTCTATAATTTAAATAAAGCTAAAAATTAACAGAAACAACAAAAAGTAGAATGCAGCTGCCTTGTCTGACCTTCTGTGTTTAAGGGACTCTGGGGCAGAGGTATCAGCTAACATGAACATAAAGGTGGTGTTCAAGAAGAAGAGAGTGGATGCAGTGTCTGTGGCCAATCTAGAAAACACTTCCAGACACACTGCTGTTACCTCATAGGTCATTCCCCAGGGTATCCCTAAGGATAAGCCCAGACCTAAGAGAAGAAGCTCAGACGAGGGAGCAGATAAAACAATATCTGTATGAGGTTCTTTAAAACATTGTTTGGCACTTTTGTTAATCTTTTTAGAATAATTTATCTAATTTGAAATATGCATCACTGTGTTATCTGATTTTCCTAGAAATTACCATATGCTATCAATGTCTCTCTTTCTCTTTTTTTTAATTTACAAAATAAGAGTTCAGACTTTTTTAAAAAAGCAGTCCAAGTCATAATCTGCAGAGAACCACCAGATGTGAACCAGCTGAGGCCAGCACCTGCAGACCACCCACCTGAATGCACCAACATGGGCAAGCCAGGTGAGACCAACAGAAGGACTGAACAGTTGACCCACTGAGTCATGAGAAGCTGTACACTGTTGTTATTATAAGCCACTGAGTTTTGGAGTGGTTATATGTGGAGTACACTAACATTTATAAAGCAAATGTATTTCACAGGGCCTAGTTTCCAAAGCCCTGTAGTTTCAGATATAACCTAACTTTTTAAAACTACAGATAGAAATATTAACCTTGCAAAAGACAGGAAACTTTCCTCAGGCTAAAGTCTCTGTTTTGGATATAAAATCGTAACACAGCAAAGTTGCTGGCCCTCAAGGACAGATGCCCTTGAGAGCAGGTTAACCTACTAATTGATATGTTAAGAAAGTTGCCTTATTGTTATGTAAAAAATACTAAGGAAACTGCTATAAGAAAACACAGTATTTGCTGAGAACAAACTTTTGTTGGATCGACTTAACCTTTTGCAAACTGCGTTATGGAATTTCAATTTGCTTATTTCAATGATGTTACTAGTTTTCCATTTGTTAGCCATAATTCTGCCAATATCCTTGTGTTTTTGTAATGGTTAAATCAACTGAATTTTCTTGTAAAACTTCCTTGTCATTACAATAAAAGAAAGAGGCTAACTTTGGAGAAAGCTGACACTTTCAGTATTGCCCCTCCTAATGGG